TCAACCCTCGTTATTCTGAACAGTGACCCTGTTCAAGTGCTTCATGGCTTCAATAAAGTAAAACCTTCATGCAAGTGTGTACTACGTTGTTTGCTGTGGGGCCTGACAATCTCTACCAGCTTCTCAGTTGCCTGCTCCACTTTTTTCTCCGTCTCTGCCAGCTGGCGCTGCTGCAAGGCAAAGTTTTGGTTTAGTGTGGCCAGTTCCTGGTTAATACCACCGAGCTGCTCCAATACCAATTTCAGCATATCCGCTAACGTCTTCATGACGTCTGCTCTGTGGCATATCTGCTAATGTCTTCATGACGTCTGCTCCCTCTTCTGATCTTGGACTCTGGCTGCCTTTCGGTTTTATTTTCCCTCATGGAACCGCCATGTTCTCTCTTTGTTTACAATTCAACACCTCTGTTTCAGAGCTCAAAAGACTCGCCGTTTCTCTATCCAAGCTCAAGTAAGTCTCTCAAAATGTAACGCTGTTTCTCCCCCCTCCCCCCCTTCGCTTCTTTGATCTATTCAATCGCTCAGGAGGCGTCCCTCCCTGCACTCCACTTTCTCCACGGAGGGGGGGGCTTCGCTTTACAAAAACAGTCCGTTTATCTCTCACGTTCATTGTTGGTCACTTCTGACCTCGCTGTCTTCCATCGCTATTCTGCTTGATCTCCTGCGCTGTTCCCGGTCAGATTGGCTTACACCCATAGGTCACCCATCGCCTGGACCATCAGGGCGGAGGGAAACCTCTATTCCACGGCTTCGAGCCGTCGAAGAGGTTAACCCTCAAAAGCCCTCTGGCTTGAAACCCTCCGCAAGGGTTCCGTGGGAGTGCCACTTGAGGTGGCACCCCTCCAAGCCGAAGGTGTGCTAGTCGCCTCCTCGAGCTTCGAGGAGAGCGACCGCCATCGCCGATCCACCCACTGGAAGCTCCATGGTGTGCTTTTAAAACTGAAAACCCATTTAGGAAGGAAGGAGTTTAGAATGGAGAAGCAGCAGGAAGAGGGGTGTTTGCAGACGTAGGTTTGGAATGACTTAAGGTACACAGAAACTGTTGGGATGGTGATTTGGAACAGAGCAACAATGGGTGAGGAAAGAGTTAAGCACCTCCTCCCTCCCCCATTATAAATCCCCCATGGCTTCCCCTCCTCTCAATAAGCAGCATTGTGGCTGAGTTACATGAAATGTATAGTTTTGAGAATTCCCGTAGTCTGAGAAAGAAAATGCCAGAGTTCGTCAAGAGTTAGTGCTGGCTGGATTCCAAAGTATAGCAAACGATTCAATAATTGATGAAATATTTGCTTTCCCATCAGCTTCTGGTGCCTTGCCCTTGTTGTCTCCTTATTGCTTTTCCTCTGGAAAGTCTGGGGCTTGTGGACAAAAGCCATTTCCCCAGCAACTTCGCTCTTGATGTCAGCAGCTGATTAATCTGCCTGTCTTTTGAAGGTTATAAGGACCCTCCATAGTTCTACAAGGAAGATTTTTGAATAGACCTTATTCTGACAGAATCTGCCCCTGTGGCCTTAATAAGGTTGACACATCCTGAATTCTGGGGTTTTGGGGTTTTTTTTGAGAATATTAGGGATTACTACATTAAGCCATTTATTATGGATCAGGCTCTATCCTCTACTTTGGAATCTCTGTTCTGTTTCCTTAGAGGGAATGATCCTAAGATTACTTTGGTGGTAAGCAAAATTTGTTTCAGTCCTCTTATCCCTTGCATTCAAACATTTTTATTTTATTTATTGATTTGATTTATACCCCGCCCTTCCTGCCAGGGCAGGCTCAGGGCGGCTTACATATATGCAATAGCTAAAAACTACAATATAAATAAAGGCATTAAAATCTTAAAAACAACAACATAAGGCGCTAATAAACAATTTAAGTGACGATGGCGAAGGCAGAGTAGCATCAACATTCTGGCAAATACAGACAGTATTAGATTTTAGTGTTGGCAGAACTAAGGCTGTCGGTGGTGGTATTGGGCCCAGGGCCTTGATGTATTGGATGCAGCTCCTTAATTAAAGGCCTGGTGGAAGAACTCCGTCTTTCAGGCCTTGCAGAACTGTTAAAGGTCCCACAGGGCCCTGAGGTCTTCTGGAGGCTCATTCCACCTGTGTGGAGGCCACATCATCGGCATGGACATTGAAGTCACCCAAGACTCAGTCTAGGGTGCTCCAGCGCCCAGCCCGACATGGCCTCCACCAGGGATGGTAGGCTGCTGGTTGGTGCGTTGGGCAGACGGTATACCAATCAAATAGCCAAACTCTCCCCGGCTTCCCACACAAGGCCAGTGCATTCTGTGCCTGTGAGCTTTGGTGGCGGGAGCGCCTTGAAGGAGTAAGCCTCCCGAATGAACAGAGCCACTCCCCCCCCCCCAGTCCAGGATTAGTGGAGGACTGAGAACCCAGGAGGAGCCAGCTGGGAGAGAGCTCCTGTCTCCCTGTCCCTTACAGATACACACCAGGTCCGGGTGTGTATCTGCAAGCTGCAAATCTACTTTTGATTTATTGACATTCATTACAGAAATCTCATGCTTGGTGTTCTGAGCCTCAGACCCAGGGGGAAGCATGAAATGGCTGGGCATTGTAAGCTTTTATGCACAAGTTGCTTCATATGCTGGTCAAGAACATGAGAAGGCATTCTGACACAGACTGAGGGCTATGTGTTTGTCTACAAAACTTCTTCCCCAGAGAAATAACTACAACTTCCTACAAAGGAAATGGCCTGGATACACACTGTCAGCCTAATCCACCTCACTGGCTTGTTGTTATTCCTCCTCTAAAATAGTTCTCACTGCTTTCTTACTGAGAAAGACTGGATCATGAGGGCATGAAGACAGTAAAAAGGGGGAGGGAACCCAGTTGCACCATGGCATAAGGAGCCCAACAGCACACACACACAGTATAAGGAGTCCAACAAAATACACACACACTGTAGCAAGGCACAAAACCTCATACCTTGGACAAAACTTTGTTGGTCTTAAAGGTACTTGGTATTTCTCCCATGTGATTGAGGCAGCCAAGCGGAGCAAGCTCTCCCTCGTTCCCTTCCTCCCTTTAGGGAGGAGCCTCAGCCAATGGAAGGAAAGAAAGGCTTCCCTTTGTCTCCTGTATACGATTGAGGCAGCCTGGCCAGTTCCCTCCCTCCCCCTGGGAGGAGGAGGGAGAGGACCCTCAGCCAGTTCTTTACCAGACTCAGTTGCACAGGAGAGGCTTGCCTATCTATCTCTCCTGTGCGACTGAGTCTGGCAAAGCAAGCTGCGATGTGGCAGCAGCAGAACTGGAAAAGGAAGCAGGAAACAGCCAAGTCCTTGCGGGCCTGACTGGAGAGCCTAATCTGGCCCACATGTTGACACCCTTGTTCTAAGGGAATAAAAGGAAAGGAAATTTGTAAGGCCTGAGCCTTACTTCATTGCATTCTTTGCTCTACACAACACCCAGAATTGAACTGGGATTGGGAAGGAGCTGTGGCTCAGTGGTAGAGCATCTGCTTGGTATGCAGGAGGTCCCAGGTTCGATCCCTGGTATCTCCAGTTAAAAGATCTGGCAGTAGGTGATGTGAAAGACCTCTGCCTGAGACCTTGGAGAGCTGCTGCCAGTCTGAGTAGACAATACTGACCTTGATGGACCAAGAGTCTGATTCAGCATAAGGCAGTTTCATGTATTCACGTCTTGTGCAAAGGGTAACTTTTGCTTCTTGTGTCCCCTTTCCTTAGATGCAAAGCTGAACAGTCACTTTCTTCCATTATCCAACCCTACTTCTGCAAGCTTAGGGGATTTCCAGTCAAAGTGCAAGTCTTTATTGGATGAGATACCGCTGGGGGATTCACAGCCGGTTTCAGTGCCATTATCCGTGGCCCAGAGAGGGCAAGAATCTCCAGTCAGCCGCTCACTCAGCCCTTCAAAAATGGAGCGTAAACACAGCAGAAGCCCTACTCGTTGCTATAAAGAGGCAAAGAAGGAGGCAAGTGCCTTGTTCTGTACTGTGAAGCAGATCAGTGGGAAATGGAGCATGCCTTCTTGGCTGTTCCACATGATGACAGGTCTCTGGGGTTTGTCTGTTGCCACAGCAGCTGCTGATGCTACACAGCAGCAACTGGGCTTCCACATGGCAAGTTTCCCTCCGTTTCGCCTGCCCTGGTCCTCGGAGTGGACATTTCCCCCACCCCATCCCACCAGGGTTGGGGGGAGTTGTCTTTCTCTAATTTTGTTAAGGTGGTGATTGATGTCCTGATGTATACAATTTTATCAGCATCTTGATGTCAGTTACTGATTTTTTAAAAAAAAAACCTTCAAAAATGCATGCCCTGACCTGGATACCCCAGGCAAGCCTGATCTCATCAGATCTCGGAAGCTAAGCTGGGCCGACTCTGGCAAGTACTTGGAAGGGAGACCTCCTTGGAATACCAGCAGTCGGGAGGCAGGGGCAGGTTTTATTCAGCCACCTCTGTTTGTTTGTTTGCTTTGCTTTTCGGAGGAGAAAAAGCCTCCTCCGCATCTCTAGGGCGTTTCCCTTCTCTCATTACGGCTGTTTGTAGTAGATAAACTCCGGGAATTCTTAAAAGCTGCAGCCAGTCCTATTATAAGTGTTCCAATTATCCAGCAGTGATTACAGGAAAGACAGGAAAAGACAGGAGTCTCAAAGAGAAGCACAGAATAAAATACTTAATCTAAAACGGAGCAGCAGCTTCCCCTCACTGTCGGCAAGCCGCCATCTTAGCCTAACCATACTGCTCAGATTCCTACAGACTGGGGACTTGCAATTATAAATCCTATATATAAGAAAGGTAACAGGTCTGACCCTAACAACTATCGTCCGATTAGTCTTTTAAACACTATCGGTAAATTGTACTCTAGACATCTGCAAATTAAATTACATAACTGGCTTGAACATGATAAATATCTAAGCAAAGAACAGGCGGGCTTCACCCATGGTC